CATCGTCGTCGTCTTCTTCTTTGTAATTTTTGATAGTAATTACTATTTATTTACTTTGTATCTGTCCGTTTTTCAAATCAACAAAAACATCAACTACAACAATAACTACAACAACAACATCAACAACAACATCAGAATCAACAACTACAACAACATCAGAATCAACAACAACAACAACATCATCTTCGACATCACTCCTTAAATTGAAACAACATCTCGACAGTAGCAACAACAACAACAACTTCATCATTTCCGCCTAAGCTCGTCGTCGTCATCGTCATCGTCGTCATCCTCATCATCAGCATCGTCCCATAGCACAACGGGGACGTTTTTTTGGATTTTACCAAAATAAGCCACCATCTAACTAGCAAACATACAAACAAACAAACATACAAACACACCAACAGAAAACACACAAATAAACACATACAAACAAACAAGTAATATAAAGACGAACGCATATAGACGACAATTCATTTCAGTTGCAGTTTCAGTTAGCTACTTTTTTGACAACATACAAACGAATGTATATATGTGCATATACAAATAAACATACATGTAAAACAAACATACACACGTACAAAAACTTAATTTAACAACAACAGCAGCAGCAGCAGTAGAAAGTAGTAGTAGCAGCAGCTTTTAACAACAACTATCGATTTTACTAAAACATCACTACAACATCAACTAAGAGAATACATCAACTAAAACTACATTAACATCAAAAACAAAATATTGACTTGAGAATCAGCTACAGCAGCAACAACTACAGCAGCTAACGGCGACCACTACCACTACCACCAACTACAACAACGACAACATGGCCCAATCGTACGACTGTACGTTGAAAGAATTGAAGGAGTTGATGTCAATGCGAGGTGCTGAAGCCTACACTAAGATTAAGAGCCATTACGGGGGTGTACTTGAACTTTGCAAAAAGTTGAAGACATCCCCGACTGAAGGTTAGAGGTCATGATGGTGGGTCAAATGGGGGGGGGGTAATTAGGTCACCTTTGTCGTTATCATCATTCCTGTTGGTTCTTTTATGGTCAGCTGATTGCGTCTCATTGTTCTCATCATTTCGTTCTTATTAATATTTACGACCCAATTTATTATTACCGTAATTTCTGAATATCATATCATCAGCGTTGATTGGTTTTCATCATCGTCGTCATTAATTACGTTGACGTCATCTTTATCATCGTTCACCGCATGTTGTTTTGGTGGAAGACAGACACACCGCGGAAATTTGGATAAACACCACCACCAACCACACCACTAACATCATAAACAACAACAACAACACTACCACCAACGACCACAGTAGTAGTAGTAGCAGCAGCAACGCCTAGACAGCGACCACACCACACAATCGTCGATCGTCAATAACAATCCCATTATTTTTCTGTCGTAAATGTTCCATTATTCAAATGACGAATTCTTTAAAGCTGTCATCGAGAGCTGGAAAGAAAGAGAGAGAGAGAGAAAGAGAAAGAAAGAGAGAGAGAAAGAGAATCAGAGAGAAAGAGAAAGAAACCGAGAGAGGAATGTTATAAAAATAAAGAGTTCTTAATAAATATAGCGTAGCAACATCTGTGGTGATGTCTTTCGTTGAATGATGTTACTGAATCACGCTGCTGTTGCATACTCTTTCTCTTTCTTTCTTTTCTCTTCTCTTTCTCTCTCTCTCTCTCTCTCTCTCTCTTTCTCTCTCTCTCTCTCTCTCTCTCTTTTACTCTCACCATATCACTATTTCGCGATTTTTCATTCTCTGAATCATCATTATATACATTTTTTCGTCGTTGTCATAATTTTTATTATCATTTATTTTAAAGACATAATATGCATATATGATAATATATGCATATTTATTAATAATAAAAACATAATATAATATAGTATAAAAATATAGTCCGTCATCACCATCATCATCACTGCCATCATCATCACTGCCATCATCATCATCACGATCATTATCACCATCATCATCACCATCATCATCACCATCATCATAACCATCATTATCATCATGGTCATCAGCCACTGATTGTACCGGGACCCTAGAATATAATGACCAATCAGTTGCTAAACTTGCTTCCTTTCCAACATTCATTCATTCATTCATTCATTCATTCATTCATTCATTCATTCATTCATTCATTCATTCATTCATTCATTCATTCATTCCATACTTCCTTTTCCTCTTTTTCGTCATCACCATCGTCATCATGATTATCTACACCATCGTCATCATCTACATCTTCATTATTTGTTTCATCATCATCATCATTAGATCATCATATAGGTCGTCATCATATAGAGCTTGTCCTTGTAAATAAAATTTCATGCAATATAATGTTTATCTACATACATACATACTTATAGGTATGACAATGTAATGTAATGTATGTGAGCGTATAGGTATTTGTGTGTGTGTGTGTGTGTGTGTGTGTGTGTAAATATTTGCATGTGTATTTGTAAGTCCCGACGACTGCTATTGATTTGAGGTAAATATGGCAAGGGTTCAATTAATATAGCCAGCTTGAGACGTGTGTTGTTTGCTGATGTTGTTTCTACAAATTTTACATTCAAATATTTCTGTATTGTTATACACGCACACACAGGCACGCACACGCGTGTGTATATATATTTGTGTGTACGTGTTTATCCTGCGTACGTGTATTTGTGTGTGCGTGTGTGCGCGCATTAGTTCGTATTTGTACACAGGAGCAAGTCTTTCACATTATTTAAGAATCCATATCATTTTAGGACGACAAACATTAGCTGAGAGAGAGAGTGAGAGAGAGAGAGAGAAAAAGAGAGAGAGAGAAAGAGAGAGAGAAGAAGAAAAAGAGGGAGATTGAACTGCGGAAAATAAAATTTGAGAGGACATTTATTCGAGGTATATTTCTGTAATGTCCATTGTGCATAAACATCAGCTGCCCGTCTCCTACGTCTGTCCGTCTGTTCATGCAAATCCTTGTACACATTTATTGTACACATGCATTGTACATATGTATTGTACACAATGTATGTTTGTGTTCATGTGTTTGTAGGTGTGTTTAACTGACCAACGAACCGACAAACGATGCAAGCGAACGAGTGAACGAACAAATAAACAAAACAAAACATTTTGTATGTGCGCAATTATTTTCCGAGTCTTCATCGTTCGCTGAACATCTGGGAAATTGTCCATGAAAGACTTCCATGGAGGCTCTCTGTGTGTTTGTATGTGTGTTTGTATGTGTGTTTGTATGTGTGTTTGTATGGGTGGTTGTATGGGTGGTTGTACGTGTGGTTGTATGTTTTTATGTTTGTAAATGGGTGTGTTTGTGTGTTTATAATGATGACTTTAATGACACGAACCGACAAACTGTGATAACATCGACACGAACAAATAACTTTCAATTAACGTAATGTGCTGATGTTGAAAATGAAGACAACGATTATGATGATGATGATGATGATGATGATGATGATGATGATGCAGTTGGTTGTGGTAATGATGGCGAAGATAGCACATTTTATTGAGGGAACGCCGGGCAAAAAAATTTCGACAGGCAACCTTCAACAACATTAATAGAGACTCTCACAACAACGACAACAAAAACAACAACGACAACAAAAACAACAACGGCAACGAAAACAACAACGGCAGCAACAAGCAACAACGACAACAAACAACATCAACAACAATAACATTATTATTATTATTATCATTAACGGTAATAATGATAATAATAAAAGAAGCCACGTATCTTATTCCGCCTAATTATGCGTCGTTTGGGTTTCAAACATTTTTTTTTGTTTATGAAGGGAATTGAAACATACATGCGTTCAAGCAAGCAAACAAACAAACAAACGAACAAACAAACAAACAAACAAACAAACACTCGTACATGAACATGCACACATACATACCTATATACATTCAAAGGAACATACGTTTGCACTCATCATACATGCATTATTTTATAAATGCCACGCCAGCCACACACACACATACCAACACACACACACACACACACGCACATACACACACGCACACATACAGGCACACGCACACACACACGCGCATACATATCTTCCGTATTGATTAAATGTAGTCTGGTTTAGTGGTTGCCATCCACAACCAAACAAGACACGTGATTGTTGTTTATCGCTGTTGTTGTTTTTCCATATTATTTTTATTTATCATTATTATTATTATTATTATTTATTATTACTATTATTTATGGTCATTATTCTTTTTATTAATCTTATTATTATTATTATTATGATCGGATAATTTATTTTCCTTGGCGTTTCTAAATCGCCTTTATGGTCTTTTATTATCATTATTTATTCGTTTATTAATTTTTTTAAATAAATTATCTTTATTAATGCTATCGTTTGCTATTATTATTATTATTTATTATTATTATATTATTATTGTTTTTGTTGAATTTTATTTTTTTTATTATTCTTGTTTTCAATCTTGTCTACAATACCCAATAAGATGAAATTATATGCACAAAAATTTCATATCGACCAGCTGGCTAAGCAGGTAAGGGCGCCGCGTTTCTTGTCGAGGGTACAACTCTATATAGTTCGATTGCACATTGACACCTCGATATGGAATTAGGATAAAGTTTCTTAAAACTATTTCTTGCGTTTCTCTTTTATTGAATGATTGATTGATTGACTGACTGATCAATTGATAGTAATTTTACTTTTTAATGATTGCACTAATATATGGCATTATTTACATTGATACTTGAAGTAAAATCAGTAGAATCTACTAAGATGCAGTAGCAGAAGTATTAATGGCTGTAGTAACTATTAGTAATTGTAGTAGTAGTTGTAGTAGTCGTAATCGTAGTCGTAGTAGTAATAGTTTCTATTGTGGTAGCAGTACCTGTAATAGCAGTAGTAGCTGTAGTAGTAGTAGTTGTAGTAGTAGTAGTAGTTGTAGTTCAGTTGGTTTTGTACCGACCGACTGCAATTTGTTTGTCAATCTTTACATCTTGATAATGATAATTGCATTTTATTTCTTTTCTGACATCTGTTCGTTTGTCTTCTTCTTCCTCTTATGAGGTTGGGTGGGTTGGTTGGTTGGCTGGCTGGTTGGTTAGCTGGCTGGTTGGTTGTCTGGTTGGTTGGCTGGTTGGTTTGCTGGTTGGCTGGCTGGTTGGTTGGTTAGTGCATTCATTACACGCATGCTACTTGTGATGAGGAAATGTTTTTAATGCCGGTTATATTTCTCTCTCTTTCTCTTTTTCTCACTGTCATTCTTTCTTCCCTCTCTTTTTTTTCACTCTCTCTCTCTTGTCTTCATTCTTTTTTAAATCTCAGTTTCATAGATTTTCAGTTTATTTGGTTCTCTTGGAGAGAGAGAGAGAGAGAGGAGAGAGAAATGTACACTGAACATGTGTTTGATTGATTTCTGATTCATTCCACTGCAATCTGTAAGATGGCCGTACTGCTGATGGTGATGATGATAATGATGGGAAAATGATGGGAAAATGATGATGATGATTATGATGATGATGGAGAAAATGATGATGATGATAATGATATTGATGATGATGATGACGACGATGAAAGAAAAGAAAGATAGAAGTAAATTGGATTCTAACGTTTTTCTTTCACTCAAATAATTTTCAATTAACTTTTTTCATTTGTTTTTTTTTTCTCATTTTTATTTAATTAATCAATTTATTTGTTTATTTTTTTTATTCTTGAAATAATGATTTTCAACGCTGGGTCCTTCAACTCAATGCACTCGCAAGTTCGTTTCAATTAAGGAAATATTTTTTTTACTTCCAACAATTCACTTCTACATTGATTTTTTTGAAGTTTTCAATGAGATTTCTTTTTTTGTTTTTTTATCTATTTATTCTTTTTTTTTCATATTTTGCCTCTTTTTGTTCCTTTGTTTCTTCATAAAGTATACTACAGATGAATGACTTTTGCGTTGCTAAATGAACGATTGAATGAATGAATGAATGAATAAATGAATGAATGATGTATTGATCGATTAAATGAAAGAATGAATGAATGAATGAATAAATGAATGAATGATGTAGTGATCGATTAAATGAATGAATGAATGACTCTCAAATTGCACACACTAAACATTACACAAAATTGCATAACTTGGCCAGCGCGTTCAGTTGACGTTCCTGTCCATCCATTTAAACCAAATGTAACTGCACATTTCATGTCTTTACATCACTTTACATCACATCAAATTACATTAATCATATCATATGATGCAGTTGATGAGGCAGATTACATCAAACGACTTGCTATCGTGTATAAGAACTAAGAGAGACATTTATAGCAATTAGCTCTGATTAGCATATAGATAGAACGAGCTTCATTTCTTTTCTAGCTGTTTGAATTTTTCTATTTCATTCATTTTTTTTATCTTCGTTTACTCATTCGTTCATTCATCTATTCGTTTTTTCGTTCATTCATTCATTCATCGTTTTATTCACTCGTTCGCTACTTTCTCTCACTTCATTTGCTTTTTTCAATTAGGTTCCTTATTAAATTCAGTGCGTTTGAACATTTTCCATTAGTGTTTTCCATGTTTAAACTGTCAACCTGATCAAATGACTCGTGCAATTGATATGCCCACACACCTACTTACATATATATATACACACACACATAGATAGATGCATACATATATACGTACGTATACACACATCCATACTCACTTACATACATGCTTATCATCATCATATCATTCACACATCACATCATCACATTGACACACAACACACGGTCACACCTAGGTCTTTCTGGTCAAGCAGAGGACATCCAGAACCGCGTAAGGACCTACGGATCGAATATTATCCCTCCTAAACCTCCGAAACCGTTCTGGAAGTTGGTCTGGGAGGCCCTTCAGGACATCACCCTAATCGTCCTCATCGTCGCCGCTCTTATTTCCCTCGGTCTGTCTTTCTACAAACCCCCCGAGGATGCGGATTGTGAGTTGGGGAGTGGTGGGAGTGGTGGTGGGGGGTGGTCTTTGGGATTGGGAGGTTTTTGAGGTTGTGTTTTTCACGTGTATAACTTATTATTTGAATCGTTTCTCTTCGTACCCTCTCATCCATTGTCCGCGTTTGTACTATTAGGAGAATTTTTTACGTTTATGCTCTCTAATTAATTCTTTCATTCATCCATTAATCGTTTCCTTCATTCATTAATTTATTGATTCATCCATCCATCCATCCATAATTCAATCAATCGGTCATTTAGAGCCATGGTCAATCAACCATGCCAACAACATCATACTATCATTTGCGGTTCTATCATTACACACACAAACTCTTTTCCTTTCTCCTCTCTCTCTATTTTTTCACGCACGCACACATACACATAATTGTACATAATTTTATTTATTCCGACCAATCACCATTCAGCCCCGACGGCACACGACGACAGCGAATCAGAAGCAGGCTGGATCGAGGGTGTAGCAATCCTATTGGCCGTCATCGTGGTGGTTCTTGTAACAGCCTTCAACGATTGGCGGAAGGAGAGGCAATTTCGGGGGCTACAGAGCAAGATTGAGAACGAGCACAAGTTCGCGACGATTCGTGGTGGTGAAGTCCTACAAATCCCCGTTGGGGAGCTGGTCGTTGGTGACATCTGCCAAGTTAAATATGGTTCGTTTCGATGTCTGGATGGATGTGTGGCCGGCTGTTTGGATGGTGACTTTTTTGTTTTGTTTTGTTTGTTGTTGTTTTGTTTATCATGTTTGCCTGTGGGTTTTTATCATAGTTTGTTATTATTTTTTGTGGAATTATTAGACTGTTTAAAATATTTTAAATTCTGTGTTTATTTGGCAATATCTTTTTGTTCGCACCGTAAAATTTGAAAAATTTTGCTGTTATTAGCTTATATAATTTTACATCCACGCATCTTCTTTGCATGTGTGTGCGAGCGTGTGTGTGTGTGTATTTGTTTGGGTGTGTATGTGTGTTTCGTGTCATATACATACAGCACGACTTTGTAATAGTAATGACATCTGCCATCCTTCAATTCATCAAATTTCATTTTCTAGTATAGCTCGTCAGCAAATACAACCAATACACTCAGTGAAAAGTTACCATTGCTATTTAATTTTTGAAAGTTTCATAAATTTGGTTATGGTTAAATATGGCTATAGTTATGGTTAGATGACTCTTTATTTTATTTTATCTTTTTTTAAATTCGCGACTGCATTTCGTTTTAAAAATCGGAGGTTATCTCATAAAGTTGGAGCTACGATACGATACTATACTATCCTATACTATACTATTCTATACGATACGATACTATCCAATACGATACGATACGATACGATTCTATGCTATACTGTACTTCTTCTATTCCACACATTTACACTAAGACATACGACGTTAAGTAGCAAATGCCAGCAGGCGGGCAGGCAGGCATGTATGTCGTTATATCGGAAGGAGGAAACAGCCCGCGACAGGCACAACAACATTAGCAATAATGGTGAAAAAAAATCAGCGTACATCAGCAAGCCACAACATCTGAAGAAACCACATCAGCAAGCCACAACATCTGAAGAAACCACATCAGCAAGCCACAAAAACTTCCAGAGACAACAATATATAACACCATTTTAACATCAATCTATACAAAAATACCTATACATACGTTAGCAGATACCCACATGCATACATATGAAGACACGTGCACACACACACATATACACAATTCGCAGACTTACACATGTATACACACAATACACACTAATATATACAAAATATTTACATACATACATACATACATACATACATACATACATACATACATACATACATACATACATACATACGCAGGTAGATCTATATAAACATCCGTTGACATTATATTGCAATCACACGTGCAAAAAACACGCCATCCAAGTATGCAACGTACGAAGTACGTGTGTTAGCGCTACACTAAGGAATGAATGGATGAGCAGATGAATGAATGAATGAATGAATGAGTGAGTAAGTGAGTGAGTGAGTGAGTGAGTGAGTGAGTGAGTGAGTGAGTGAGTGAGTGAGTGAGTGAGTGAGTGAGTGAGTGAGTGAGTGAGTGAGTGAGTGAGTGAGTGAGTGAGTGAGTGAGTGAGTGAGTGAATGAATTTGCGGAAGAATGTTCGAATAAGTAAATGCAAATAAGTGATTGAATGAATAAACAAATACATGAATGCTTTAACGATTGATGTGATGAAAGAAAAAAGCGAATGAACGAATGAATGAATGAATGAATGAATGGATGAAAGAGAATGAATCAACAAAAACGGAAAAATATTCGATCAGGAGGAGAAAATTTTATTTTTTGCCTGCCTAACACATGTTTCGGTTCGAAAATACAGACACGAACGCGCACACACACTTGCACGCACACACACACTCGGGCACACATACACACGCACACACTCGCACACACACTTGAAACGTTTTCCATGTCTTTATGTTGGCAAGACTCAATAAATCATTTTTTCAATTTTTCGATTCGGTAAGAGAAAAACAAAACAAAAATATCGATGAGATGGATAACTTGAACATGTGACACACCCAACCAAAGCATACAAACCTACATACAAACACACATACATACAAACACACATACATACAAACACACATACATACAAACACACATACATACAAACACACATACATACAAACACACATACAAACAACATTACAGATATGCAAACTTACGTAAGACATTGGTATACACGGCGGTCGTCATAAAACATACATACATACATACATACATACATACATACATACATACATACATACATACATACATACATACATACATACATACATACATACATACATACATACATACATACATACATACATACATACATACATACATACATACATACATACATACATACATACATACATACATACATACATACATACATACATACATACATACATACATACATACATACATACATACATACATACATACATACATACATACATACATACATACATACATACATACATACATACATACATACATACATACATACATACATACATACATACATACATACATACATACATACATACATACATACATACATACATACATACATACATACATACATACATACATACATACATACGTACATACGTACATACATGCATGCATACAGATATACATACATATATAAATACATACAGACATACATACATACATATATATATACATATATATATACATACATACATACATATATATTGATTTTTCTCAAGGCGAGGCTTATAGTTGCGTATAAGCATGCGTTTGTATGTGTATATACATATACATGTACATTGATATCATGCATACAATTGTATGTTTGTGTATATTAGTATATTTAAATGAATTTTTATATGTTTGCAGATGTTCGCTTAGACGTGCGTTTCGTTACACACACACACATACACGTACGCACATTCATACATACGTGCATACACGCACACACAGACATACACGCATACATACATACATACAAACAAGAGGACACACTCATACACGCATAGTGTGTACACTTAGGTGGGTACGCGTATTTAAAGAAGGAATCTGGGTACGTTGATACGACGGTCTGCTTTGTTTTATATGTATGTATATGCGCAAATAAAATACACTTGCATCTCATTGGTGACTGTTTAAGAGGATGTCTGTATGTGTGTGTGTGTGTATGTGTTTATGTGAGTGTGTATCTATGTGCCATGTATGTATGAGTGTGTGTGTGTGTGTGTGTGTGTGTGTGTGTGGATGTGTGTGTGCGTCTGTATGTAATTGGCGCTTGAATGGCTTGTTTACACGCATCTATTAAAACTTTTATCATCGACGTCGTCTCTTCATCATTGTTATTATCATCATCGTCATTGTTATCATCTTCATGATGTTCGTCATCATCGTCGTCGTCGTCGTCGTCACGTGACATGTCATCACTTGACATGGCATCTGCAGAATAAGAGTCAGAGCACCTCTTCTTCTTAATCCTGATTTATCTCTCTTTCTATCTCTCTTTCTTTCTTTTATTTTCTCTCTTTCTCTCTTTCTCCTTCTTGCACCTCTCTCTCCTCTCTCTCTCTTTCTTAAGATTTTGAGATTTCCACGCTAATCCACAATCTTCTTCCTATCTATGTATCCATCTATTAAGAATAATCTCTTCGGCCATCTTCAAATTTCAGACATTCCGCATTTCGTTTTAGTTGCTACCTTTTCTATAAGTTATGCACACACCCGCTCTCACACACACGCAAACACACACACAAACACACACACACACAAACACACACACAAACACAAACACACACACATGCATATAATAACTACCTACATATGTTTCGAGTCTAGTTCAGTTACTGCATAGCACTCGTATGTTTCGAGTCTTGTTCAGTTACTGCATAGTACTCTTCTCGACCCGTTTATTGTTGAAAGTGACTTGACCTATTTATTCTAAATGCCCTATTGACCTATTTAAATAACCCCATCACTTCAGGTGACCTTTTGCCCGTAGATGGCATTATAATACAGAGCAATGACCTGAAAATTGATGAAAGTTCACTTACCGGCGAGTCTGACCACGTCAAGAAGAGTGAGACTAATGACCCACTTCTGCTTTCCGGTTGGTTTGTTGGGTGGGGTTGTTGGAGAGGGGGTTGGTTTTTTTAGGTGGGGGTTTGATTGGAGTGGAGTGGTTGGTAGAGGCCAAACTGAAATGGTGGATTGAGATTTTGTTAAAAATATTATGGTGGATATTTGTTGTTATTTGCTTCTTTAGAAAGTGTTGATAGTTCTGGTGTCAGTAATAAAATTCCTGATGAAGTTGATGGGGGGCACTGATGGTGATCGTGATGGTAATGATTGCGGGAGATGATGTGATGATGATGTGGATTGCGCTGCGTTGTAATGTGTGCTGATGCATCGATCAAATGTGAAGAATTTTGATTTGTCTAAGTGTTAGCCATTGTCTAACGAGATATACACGACCATCAATCATTAGACACATGCCTTATTTACACATACACACACACACACACACACACACACTCACACACACGCACACACACATACACGGGCACACACGCACGTACAAACAGGCACACACGTGATGGAGGGCAGTGGAAAAATGCTGGTGGTTGCAGTCGGCATAAACAGCCAGGCGGGCATCATCTTTGCTCTGCTGGGTGCATCCCAAGAGGAAAAGGAAACCAAAAAAGATAAGAAAGCCAAGAAAGGTTTGTTTTCGAACCGCCTATAAAAATAAATATAGAAACATTGTTACGTTTTTTTGTTATTTTACTTGTTCTTCTACTTCTTCTTATTCTTCTTTTTCTTATTCTTCTTTTTTATTTTTTTTTAAAGTTCATACAATACAATATACATCGCAAAACAATACAATGCCATACAAATACAAGCAAAATAAACAAAATACAAATACAATATTCCATACAAATTTAAATGCAATAGCAGCTTCTGACGCTAAGAACTTGGCGACAGGCGCCACCGGAGCTGAACAAATTATGCTGGAAAATAAAGAGGTGATGTCGATGATGACCAAGAGGATGATGACTGGAATGATGATGGTGGCAATTATTGCGTAAATGTTTTCCCATTCATTCCCCGGCATAGCAATGTCTCACTAATCCTACTGTTATTAATTTAAGTTCTTTAAATTATTCATCATTAGAATAAATTATGTTAATTAGCTAACATAACCACGCCCTCTTTTCAGTTGATTGACAACGTGGACAGTCCCTCTGGCCCGGCGCAGAGTTCTGGTAGAAAGGAAAAGTCGGTACTGCAAGCCAAACTGACCAAACTGGCCATCAAGATCGGATATGTCGGTTGGTTGATTAATTGATTGGCTGGTTGGTTGGTTGGTCTAGTATTTAGTCTGCTGGTTGATTGGTTGATTTAGTGATTGATTTATTGGTTGGTTGGTTGGCTGGCTGGCTGTATGATTGGTTGGTTAGTTAAGTGGTTAAAGTTTGATTGATTGAGTGATTGTTTAATTAATTAATTGAGTAGTTGATTAATTAATTGAGCGATTGATTGATTGACTGATCGACCTTAGAAGGAGTGCATACACGAGAGAAGTTCACACTCAATCACTACGCCAGTCAAGTCCAAAAACTTTTTCCCATGAAACTTTATTTCTACTCTCCCCCAAAAAAAATTAGTTTGATATATGCGCTCACTCCGAGAAACGCATAAATTTTCATATAATTAGCATATAATTAGCGCTGGCACGTTATAATTATAATGATAATGACAATATAGTATCAACATATCATCATCTGTCATCATCGTTTAACGATGGTAACAAAACGTACAAAGATATACAAATACAACATATACAAAAAAATACAAACTAATGCCAAGAAATACAAAAATGTATATACAAAAGTATGATATACATACGAACACGTTATTCATACGATCAAAGATTATAGTGCTGTAATTTCACATAACGAAGCATACAGAAATACAAAAAATATACACAAGTACACACAAATACAAAGAAATACGCACAAATACAGACAAATACAAAGAAATACACGGAAACACTCGTCATGCACATGATCAAAGAACACGGAGGAGTAGTTTCATATAACGAAACAGCGTTACGTCACGTATTAACGCAGCAAAAAAAATGCCAGAGTTTTTTCGCCATATAGGCTTTCATTTTTTATGGTTGTGTATCTGGGTGTGCGTACGCGTGTGTGTGTCTGTGTTCGTGTGTTTGTTTGTGTGTGTGTGTGTGCCTGTATTAGTTTATCCATGTGCATCTGGGCGTGTCTTTATGTATTTTCACATGTGTGATCTTTGTGTGTGTGTACGTTTTTGTATTGAAGTGTGTATGCATGTGTGTGTGTGTATGTGTGTGTGTGTGTGTGAGTGAGTGACAGTGTGTGTGTGTTTTGAAAACGAGTGTGTGGATGTTGTCGTGTTGATGTTCTTTTTTTATTTCAGCGTGCTCAGTCGTGTGAAAATTATAGATGTTTGTTTCAAACGCACGCGCATGTGTGTGTGCGCGCGCGTGTGTTATTTCGATTTGTGTGTGTAATAAAGTAGTTGTTTTTTGCGTATGTTTTTACGTTTTTGAAGATTTGTATGTTAGTATGTGTGTTTGTTCGTTCGTTCGTACGTGCGTATATGTACATCTTTAGCGTGTTCATGCGTTTGTGTGCGCCGCTTACGTGCGTGAATATGTGCGGGCTCACGCCAATAGTTTAAAAATAGCCCTGATGATAATTATCGCGGCGTGTAATACAACCGCTTCCTGCAATGCTACCACCGTAGCCACTTCCGTTATTATTTTTTATCTTTTTTAACTACTGTCGCTACTACAGGCACTTCTACTTTTACTACTATTACTACTACTACTACTACTACTACTACTACTACTACTATTACTACTACTACTACTACTACTACTACTACTACTACTTTTACTACATCTGCTACTACCGCTGCTACTACAACTACTAGTACTGAGGCTGCTGTGGCCGCTACCACTACTACTAAATTTTTTTCCATTTTACTCAATCCATTATTGAAAATGATAGTAGTAATTTGCCCGTTCTTTACATTAGCATGCCCTTGTCATTATAATGTTATTTGAATTTATTTACCTTGTCGTTACTGTCGTCATCATCATCATCATTGTTGTCGTCGTCGTCTTGGCCACAGCCGCCCTACCAGGAACATTATGTTGGACGTTATTTTAATCCCTTTACGAGTGAGTGTGTCTAAGTAAATTAAATGAGTGAGTGAGTGAGGGAATAAGTGAGTGAGTGAGTGAGTGAATGGATGAATAAATGGATGAATGGATGCACATATGAGTGAATGTATGAATAAATGAATGAATATATGAATGAATAATGAATTGAGTTAATGAATAAACTAATAAATTAGTGAGGTGAATGAATGAACGAATAAATAAATGAGTGAGTGAGTGAATAAATGAATGAATGAGGAATGAATGAACAAAAAAATGAGCGAGCCAATGTGAAGGAAAGATAACGTTCCTTGTATATTTCTCTCTATTTATACGCATACATTATCGTTATTATCATGATTTTCTCAGCGTCATCGTCATCACACTATCATCATCATCAGTATCATTATCATTATAAGATTTGCCCTCGATAGTGACGTCATCATCATCGTCATCATCATCGTCGTCGTCGTTATCAGCTACTTCATCCGTTGGCTGGTTGGCTTCATTATCCAATGCTATTTTATCCTGCTATTCTCGTTGAATGGAAATTGTGTCGATCGTACTTAAATTTTTTCCATTTTTTTGTTATCTCTTTCATTCTTTCTTTCTCTTTCTCTCTCTTTTTTCTAAATGAATGAATGATTGATTGAATGAGTGAACGAGTGAGCGAGTCAATGAAAGAATTTGGTATATTGTATATATTTTGTGGATTCCTCCGTCAAATGAATTCTCTCATACTGAATTCAATTTACAATAAATTTTTTTTCGTTATGTATACCCATCTCTCTCTCTCTCTCTCTCTCTCTCTCTCTCTCTCTCTCTCTCTCTCTCTTTCATATTTTTTCCAAACTTTTTTATTGATTGATTGATCGATTGATTACATGATTGATTTGGTCTTTCGTTATTAATTCATCTAATCATTCACTAACTTTGTTTGTCCCCCCTCTCTCTCTTCCTCTCTTTCTCTCTCTCATTCGTTCGTTCGTTCTTTTGCTTGTTAGTTCGCTTTATTTTTGTCCGTTCTTCCGTTGCTGTTTTTTGATCTTTTTTCCATTCTTTGATTTAATGATTTCCACCCAACCAACAAATTTACTTCCATTTTCTTGTCATTTCGTTTTTATTACTTTCCATTCTTCTTACTTTCTTTCACTTACTGCTACTATTTTTTCCCATTCTCTTTTCTGTACTGTCTCTTCTTTATCTTTTTGTCTGTCTGTGTTTTTGTCTGTCTGTCTGTCTCGTTTTTGTCTCTTTCTCTTTTCCTCTTTCTCTTTTTCTTTATTCTCTTCTTTTCTTATTTATCGGGTTTTGTTCATCTTTTCTCTGTGTGTCACACACACACACAAACACGCACACACACAGAAAATTTTTTTTCCATGTCATCCGCAATTTATCAACGTATTGTAATTTAACGTTGCTCGTGTTTCTCCTTGATCAACTTGCTCTCCGTCTTGTTCTTGATGATGATGATGAAGAAGATGATGATGATAATGTAGCGATGATAATGTTGTTGTGATGATGATTAAGGTAACGATGATGATTAAGATGACGTTAATCGTGCTTGCGCTGACGATTTTTATTGAAATGGAAACAAATGGCACTGTGTTGGAATTCAATGTCTCTTTTTTTTTGCTGTTTCGTTCCAGATGTCTCTCTCTTTCTCTCTCTCTCTCTCTCTCTCTTTCTCTCTCTCTCTTTCTCTTGATTTCTCTGTCTTTCTTTACTCTTTTTCTCATTCTCTTGTTCTCTTTCTTTCTCACATCCTTCTATTTTTTTGTATATCTTGATTCATTTGTTCGCCAATTCATTAATTCATTTCTTAATTCCATTCATTCGTTAATTAATTAATTAATTAATTAATTAATTTGTTCATTCATTCATATACTCATTTACTCATTCATTCCCTCTTTTTCATTTTCTTCCATTTTTCTTTCTTCCACATAATCTCTCGTTATTTCTGTTCCCAATTTTTTTTCATTCTTTAGATCAATTTTTTGAAGGTTATTGCAACGAACGAGATATTTGACCTTGAGACTCGTGACCTTGATCTCGTAACCTTCAATCCGATTGGTCACAGACAAGTCACCTCTCAATGGTGCTTTTGATCAATGGCGCCTGTGTGCTTAAAAGAGAGATAGAGGGAGAGAGAGATAGATGGATGGATGGACGGACGGACGGAGAGACAGACAGACAGACAAACAGACAGATAGATGGATGGATGGATGGATAGATAGAGAAATAGATAGGGAAATAGATTGAGATATAGATAGAGATATAGATAGAGAAATAGGGAGAAAGAGAAAGCTTGTGAGAATATAACTGTTTTACATTTTCTTGTAATCAGATTCATTGAGTGATGTCATAATGACGTCATTGATTGAATGATGGATGGACGAATGGCCGGATGAAGAGAGATTTGTGGATTGGGAATTAATGTTTGAGGAGATTTACAATAGTGTCGGCGAATGATGCGATGGGGGGTGGTGGCTATGATTATTGCGATTGTGAAGTCGTTGTGAAGATGTTGATGGTAATGATTGTGGTGGAGACGACGATGATGATGATGACAGCGGCGATGATGAAAAAATGTTTATAACATTTACCATGTTCAATTTAATAATCATAACATCATCTATATTATCGTCAAAACCTACACCACAACCATCGTCATCAATGTAACCATCATCATATTCATCATCATATTCATCATTCCCTCTTCATCCTCCTCCTCCTCATCATCATCATCATCATCTGTTTGTTTGTCTCTACCACCCTCTCCAAATTCCTTCCTTCCTTGAGTTGATGCCAGGAATGGGACGACGTTGAATAAATAAATACGAGATATAGAAAAATTATTTTTTCCGCTCCAGCTCTTGTTTCTCTCCTTCGTCTTCCTGCTTTTTCTCTCTATTTTTCCTCTTCTTCCTTTTCCTTCTTTCCGGTTTATCTGTCGTTATGGACAATCCTTCTCTCTTGTTTTCTCTCTCTCTCTCTCTCTCTTGTTCTCTCTTTCTCTTTTCTTGTTTGCTATCATATTTTTTTAATTTCCAATTTATTCCGTCTATCTGTCTTTCTCAATTGTATTTTTTCTCTCTCGCCCTCTTTATCTCTCTCCCCCTTTCTCTCGCTCTTTTTCTCTTTTTCTCTCTTTGTATCTCTCTCTCTCTCTCTTGTTTTTGTTTCTTTTTTCCTAATTCTCAATTTATCAATTTATTCTTTCTAATTTGTTTCACAGTTGTGGTTATCTCTGTTTTTCTCTCTCCATCTTTCTTTCTCGCTCTTACTCTCTCCCTTTTTCGTCTATTATTACAGTAGATACAGCAGATGTATTACAAATTTTTACTTGAAGAGGAAAAAATACGAAAGCAGAATAAAAAGCTGGATGTAATATGAGCTGGCCGTCATGGATATGAAGTGCAGACGAATTTAATCAAACAACTTGCCGTCTTATCACACTCGCACTTTTCACTATCTCTCTCCATCCATCCATCTATCCATCCATCCATCAATTATTTTCTTCATTCATCCATCTATCCAATCTATCTGTCTATCCATTCATTCGTCCATCCAGGCACTATAATAGCCATACTAACGGTCATCATCTTGGTTCTTCGATTCTGCATTGAAAAATTTGTAGTGGACAAACAGCCATGGAATCCCAAGTACATTCAAAACTTTGTTCAGTTCTTCATCATCGGTGTGACCGTGCTCGTCGTGGCGGTACCCGAGGGACTGCCGCTGGCCGTCACACTTGCACTGGCATACTCCGTTAGGGTTAGTAAATGAATGAGTGTGTGTTTTGTTTTTTGAGATGGCGCGCATGTAAACATATTCATCTTCATTCACGGTCATCATCGACATCACGTCACTATCACATCACCAACACTATCATTTGCCGTCGATTGAGAGCAGAAGATGATGTTGGACAACAACCTGGTGAGGCACCTGGACGCCTGCGAGACCATGGGCAATGCCACGGCCATCTGCTCGGACAAGACCGGCACACTCACCACCAACAGGATGACTGTGGTCCAGAGTTACATTGCTGGTCAGTCTTTTGGTGGTGATAGTGATGATGATGATGAAAATGATGATGGTAGCAATGAGAATGATGCAACGATAAGGATTATTCATATACACATTCATATACAAACTTAAACTCATTTATACAAACGTACATACACAAACATAAACATGCATACACACTACACACACATACGTGACACACATACACAAACGTACACACACAAACAAACAAACAAACACACTCGTACACAGACGTACATCACAAGTCCACACCAAAGTTTGCCAGCATCCCAAACTCCGTGGGAGAGATCTTGGTCAGGGCTATATCCATTAACAGTGGCTACACCTCAAGAATTATGGTTAGTGCTGCTGCTGCTGTTGATGATGATGATAATGATGGTGGTGGCGGTGGTGATGTTGATGATGATTGTTTTATTCTTTGTCCGAACTTTAATCAGCATTACCAAGCGTTTTAAATTATAAATCGTTGTCATCACTGGCGTAATTATCATTATCATCATCATTGCAATCATCATCAAAATCACCATAACCACCACCTTGATCACCACAACTACCAACATCATCATCATAATCACCTCGACGTCTCCAGCCGTCAGAAAACAAAGACGAGCTGCCGAAGCAAGTTGGAAACAAAACAGAGTGTGCCCTGCTCGGGTTCGTCTTAGACATGGGCCTCAACTATGAAACCTACAGGGCAGAAGTACCAGAGGACAAGATTTACAAGGTACTTTATACAGGGTATTCGTGTACGCCTATCTATCTGATAGTACATTTGAAATACCCAATTATCAATTAACATGGTGTATCTATCTATACATATCTGATAATACATTAAAGGTACCAGAAGATAAGATGTGCTGGGTATTTATACTGAGTGCACTGCTCATGCATATCTATTTATTCTTTTCAATTTTCATACTTCGGGGAATTCTTTTATTGTATATCTATTTATACATTATTTATACAGATTTATACACGAGAGATACATTATTTATAGGGTATTTATACACAAGGTATTGGCACTTAGTGGGTATTTGTGTATACTGCTTATTTAATAATATGTTTGAAGTGGCCCAGCATATGTTACTTGTGTTTACCTATATTCAATTATCAAATATATCGTATCGTAAATAAAATACAAATATATTATACAAGAAGGAATTGTATTATACATCATCGCCATCAGCTACGACACGATGTGTGCATCATTATGATTATAAAAATAAAATAAAAAAAAAAGTTAAAGCCTATTTATTTTCGTCATGAAATACTTTACGTTTTTAGGGGTTTAGAAACAGTGCACACGCATCGTAAAAATTACTTAAATATAATGAATATGCCTTTATGTGTGTATCGTTCTCTCTCTCTCTTTCTTTCTCTTCTCTCTTTCTCCCTGTGCGTGTGCGTGTGTGTGTGCAAGGTTGCGTAAAAGAACCCGCCGTCACACGCATGCACCCTTTAAGAGCATTATGTAATTAGAAAAAAATGTTATAAACAAAAATAAGCATAAACAAACAAGCAAACATGTGAACAAGCAAACATGTGAACACACACAAAGAGGCAAACAAAGAAAGAAATACAAACACACATGCAAAAAAACCAGTACTGGTACTGCGGTCATCTTCACTGATGTATAAATAACAAACATAACATGCGAGCATACAAAAAATACAAAACATATACAGCCAAATATACAAAAATATACAAACACGCAAATATACAAACACGCGAACATATACAAATACACGCAAATACCTAGGTATATACCTTCAATTCTGTGCGCAAATCAATGAGCACTGTCATTAAGAATGGTGCCAATGGGTACAGACTGTTCACCAAAGGAGCCTCGGAGATCGTCATGAAGAAGTAAGCCTTTGTGGTATATATGTATTTGTATTTCTGGTATTTGTTTTTGTATTTGTATTTCTGGTATTTGTTTTTGTGTTTGTATTTTTGGTTTTTGTTTTTGTATTTCTGGTATTTGTTTTTGTATTTGTATTTCTGGTATTTGTTTCTGTGTTTGTATTTCTGGTATTTTTTTCTGTCTTTTTGGTTTTCGTACTGTTGATATTCAGGATTGAGTTGTTAGTATTCGAATCTTCATTGTTGATATTTATTTGTATTTTCATTATTGGTACTTGTATTTGTATTGTCGGTCGGTACTCGTATTTTTATTGCCAATCGGTATTCTGTCGGTACTCTTATTTGTATTCTCTCTCTCTCTTCTCTCTCTCTCTTTCTCTCTCTCTCTCTCAAACACACACACACACACAGAATATAGATATACGTGTATACATACATACACGTAAACACGCATATTCTTATGTACATCAATGCAACTCAATTATACGAATACCATAAAGTCTATTCTGGCACAGTACATGGAACAATTTTTTTTTCATTTTTTTCCAAATGTCTTGTATAGATGAATGTGTACGTATGTTTGCATGCGTGTACAACATATAACGTTTGTATGTATGCGTGCACCTATGTATGCATGCATGTATTGGCGGGTATTTATTTTGTTTGTACGTTCCATCATTGTATGTTACAGCGTATGTTTTGTATTTTTGTATGGTTTAAAACATTTGCATACAAACACAAACAAACATATATATATATATATATATATATATATATATATATATATATATATATATACAACAACAACAACAACACAAAACAACATGCATATAAACATATATATATATATATATATATTTCTAAAATATGCATAAACATATGCGATACAATGTTTTATACATTGATACATGCATAAAATTGTACGCATACGCATACAAAGATAAGACGTAGGTTGGTACGTCTGTACGTATGTATGTTTGTGCGTATGTACGTTACTACACTGCCTTCCGTATAAAGCGCAATTATCTGCTGTTGTTGATTCGCCGTTGTTGTTGTAGGCTGCCGGTTTCTTCTTGGATGCTTTTTCCTACTACTACTACTGCTACTACTACTACTGCTACTACCACTACTACTGCTACTGCTACACACACTGCTGCTACTACAGCTGCTGCTCTTTATGTTTTTAGGTTTGTCTATGTTTGCCTATGCTTGTCTGGGTCTGTCTATGTTTGCATCCAAAAGGCTGTCTAATGTTTTTGTCATCGTTTGTGTTCGAGGAATGTGCCTGCATTTTTAATTTTTTTTATCCTGCAAATTTTTCTTGTATAAATGTTTTTTGTTAGGTCGGACTAACTGCATTCCAGAAGCATGCGATAACGTAGCAACCCTTTGTGCGTGTGCGTGTGTATGTGCGTGCGTGTTCGTGCGTGCGTGCGTGTCTAGGCTGACTATGTAATGTAAATTAACCGATACCGTTTTTTTGCTGGCGTTTTGTTTGTTGTTGCATTCTGCGTTTTGATGCTGTTGTTGGTAGGAGGATTTTGGTGGTGTTGTTGTTGCTTGAATGTTGTTGTTGTTGTTGCTTGTATGATGTTGTTCTTGAGGTCATGTTGTTTTTATTCAATTTTTTTTTGTTATCGTCAAATTTTAGTCGAGGTTATTTATGGTTGTATGTGCTTTTCCGGTTTGTTGATTGTTTGGTCAGATGGTTGATACTGATTGGTTAGTTGATCTGTTGCCTGATTGATTAGCTGGCCGGTCTGTTACCTGATTGGTTGGTTGATTGGCCGGCTGATTGTTTCATTGGTTGGTTGCGGGTTTTTTGTAATAGCGGCACGTATTTATGTGAAGGTGGAAGGATGTGTATGCATTCGTTTGTTGTTGTTGTTGTTGTTGTTGTTGTTGTTGTTGTTGTTGGTTGCTAGTGAATGTTCGGCGTTGGTATGTCGTTCTTTTGTCCTTACCGATGTTCATTCAAGTGCAGTTTTTTTGTGTTTTTTTGTAGCAGTAGCAGCAGTAGTAGCAACATCAGAAATTGTAGTAAAAAATGTAGTATAGGTAGCGGGCAGCATTTGATTAATTGTGAAGAATTGTCGCTAAATTGAATGTAACAAACCCTCTTTATATGTGCATTGTTGGAGCTTCGAGGTACAAATGAATTTTTCTTTTGTTTGTTTGTTTTCATGTTTGTTTGTATGTATGTTTTGTATGTACGTTTGTGTGTATATATATCATCATCATCATCGCCGCAAATAGATGTACACACATTCTTGGTGTTGATGGCGTGTTGAGAGACTTTGGACCTCGCGACCAGGACCAGATGGTCAAGAAGGTCATTGAACCGATGGCAAGCAATGGAATGAGGACCATCTGCATCGCTTATAAGGATTACGTTGACGGTTTGTTCGTTTGTTCGTTCGTTCGTTCGTTCGTTCGTTTGTTGTTGTTGTTTTCTGTTCATCTTTTTTTTTTATTGTATTCTCGCTTCCGACTACAAGATAGCGTAATTGTTAAGTTGTCTTGCCTTGTCGTTACCGGGTTCAAATCCAATCAAATTCTCGCACTTCACTAGCAAATGTGTATGCTGCTTCACTTGTAATTGTATATTTGTAAACAACAACCACAACAACAAATAACAACAGCAACAAAATTATCTTTTTCCGATCTTACAGGTCAACCGCGGAATGGGAGCCAGGAACAATACAAAGGCGAACCAGCATGGGACAAAGAAGCCGAGATTGTTCGCAATCTTACGTGCATCTGCATTGTTGGCATTGAAGATCCCGTAAGACCCGAGGTACGTTTGCGTATGTGTGTTTGTTGTGTGCGTGTGTCTGTTAGTTATTGTGTATGTGAGTGTGTGTATGTGTGTGAGAGAGAGAGAGAGAGAGAAAGAGAGAGAGAGAGCAAACGAGAAAGAGAAATGAATAAATGAACGTGTGAATGAATGGATGAACGACTTGATGAACGTATAAGTGAAAGGATGAACGAACGAATGAATGAATGAATAAATGAATTATCGGATTAATTGATGGATAAAACTTCGAAAAATCAGGTCCCGGCGGCCATAAAGAAATGCCAAAATGCCGGCATAACGGTAAGGATGGTGACTGGTGATAATGTTAACACAGCCAGATCCATCGCCATCAAATGTGGAATTTTGAAACCTGGTTCGTGCGTGCGTGTGTGTGCGTGTGTGTCTCTCTGTATACGTTCCTTTATTGTGTGTGCAACAATATTGTAACAAACAAAATTCTCGACAATAAAACAGCAATGAAGTTTGATCTGAGTTGCATGTCTGAAGAATAATTTCGTGACAAATTCGCGTGTATTATTGTCGCTGACAAGTTTGATTTGTGAGATGATTAATCAATCAACTATTCGATCAATCAGTCAACTATTCACTCAATCAATCAAACAATCAACCAACCAACTGTTTAATAAATCTATTGACCAACCAATAAAAAACACCGGATTTTTTGATCGATTGATTGATTGATGGATGGATGGAGGGATCGTTAAATAAATGAGTGGGGGAGTGAATGAATGAATGAAGGAAGGAATGAATGACTCAATCAATCAATCCCCCAATCAAGATGACGACTTTTTCGTAATTGACGGCCAAGAATTCAATAGAAGAATAAGAAAAAATCCTGACGCTCCGGTACAATAGCAACAACTTTTAATTATAATTAATTATAATAATAATAATAATTATTTTTTTATTAATTATAATTAATTATAATAATAATATTAATAATTAATCTAATAAGAACATAATATAAATAATACTGTTAATATTTGTGATTTTAACGATCTTAAGTGTTTTTTTATGTCTAGTTTAAAATAATTCTGCTGCTATAGTTTAAAACTTTACCATGATTGACTTTATCATTTCATGGTGAAATTTGATCAAATGAAGGTTTACTTTTAGATTTTGAATTAAGTAAGATGTGCAACAAGCTTGGCGATGTTTGAATACCTTTATTAACTAATGCTATACAATACAGCAAGTATACATTCGTTCGTTCGTTCGTTCGTTCATTCATTCATTCATTCAATCCTTTATTTATCTATCTATTCATCCAGTTATATGTTTGACAGGGATTTATTACCGTTCCTATATATCATTAATATCCTCTTCAGTGACATTCACAAACGTTACCCCCTGACTAACCCTTAGTTCGACCAAGCCCTGTTCGATCAGGTGTGGCCCAAATTGCGCGTGTTGGCCCGCTCATCTCCCCAAGACAAGTACACCCTTGTAAAGGGCATCATCGACAGTAGGCTGAACCCAACCAGAGAGGTAGTGGCGGTCACGGGGGATGGTACCAACGATGGGCCGGCCCTCAAAAAAGCCGATGTTGGCTTCGCTATGGTCAGTTTTTCGGTTTTGTTTTCTTTAATGTTATTTTTTTATCCTTATCATCTTAGTATTATTATTTTCATTGGTGTTACACGCACACATACATGCAAACACGTACACAGACACGCACACACAGACACGCACACACGTGATGCTAAGTATGAATTTGATTTTATTAATAGAGAGAGGTGGTTATTTATTCTTGCGAGAAATTCAGTTGTGAAGGAGATTTCGGTGATGACGATGTTGCTGATGACGAAAATGGTGATAATAATGACGACGATGACGATGATGATGACGATTACCATGGCGTAGGTGTTATTTATGGCTACTTGTATCGACGATTGACCATTTTAACAACATTGGCACTTTTTTATATAGATTTTTTTTCTATTGTCGTCTGCTCTGATTTTTTTTGCTCTATCGATTTCGGATGTCATCATTATTTCTTCATCGTCATCATCTTCATCATTATCTTCTTTTTCATCTTCATCATCATCATCTTTTTCATCTTCATCATCATCATCTTCTTCATCTTCATCATTCTCATCATCATCTTCATCATCATCTTCTCCTTCATCTTCTTTATCTTCTTCTTCATCATCATCTTCTTTTTCATCTTCATCATCCTCATCTTCATCATCTTCTTCCTGTCCACTCACTTTCAACTGACCACCACCATCCATTCATCAGGGCATAGCGGGCACGGACGTAGCAAAGGAGGCATCGGACATCATCCTGACGGACGACAACTTCACATCAATCGTGAAGGCCGTCATGTGGGGGAGGAACGTCTATGACAGTATCGCCAAATTCCTGCAGTTTCAACTGACCGTTAACGTGGTGGCCGTCATCGTGGCGTTTCTTGGCGCCTGTTTCATTAATGTTGGTTTTCGTTTGCTGGCCTGCATTTGCTTGCTTGTAATATATTCACTGTTTAGATTTTGTGTATTTGTATCGCAACTTAATTTTTAAAGTTTTTTGATAGCCATCATTTCTCTCTCTCTCCCTCTCTCTCTCCCTCTCTCTCTCTCCTTCTCTCTCTCTTCTTCTTCTTCTTCTTCTTAACTCTCTTTCTTTCTCTCTCTTCTTTCTTTCTCCAAAAAACGCTCTCATACACTTTTAGGAATCTCCCTTGAAAGCCATACAAATGTTGTGGGTGAACCTCATAATGGACACCCTGGCCTCTTTGGCCCTGGCCACGGAACTCCCCAGCGAGGACATGCTGAACAGGAAACCTTACGGTCGCACGAAACCGCTGATTAGTAGGACCATGATGAAGAACATCATTGGACATGGTATATACCAGCTCGCTGTTATCTTCGTTATTCTGTTTTTAGGTAGGTTTAACTTTGTGTTTGTGTGTGTGTGTGTGTGTGTGTTTGTGTGTGTGGTGCGTGTGCGCGTGGTGTAGTTTTTATGTCAGTTTTTTAATTGTTTGTTTATCATGTATTTATTTATTCATTTTTTTTTTTTTTTGAAAATAATCTCTCATAGTTTTGCCAAGGTTCAGTTAGGTCAACTAGCTTTTGCTTATCTATCTATCTAGTCATTTATCTATCCAACCACTCACTAATTGACACTCATCTATCCACCCATCAACCAACCAACCCCAGGTGACCAGTGGTTCGGCATAGACTCAGGGCGTATGGACAAATCCTCCCGAGCCATGCCCCCACCAAACCACCACTTCACCATCATCTTCAACACCTTTGTCATGATGACACTCTTTAATGAGATCAATGCCAGGAAGATCCACGGGCAACGTAACGTCTTCGAAGGGCTTAACAGGAATCACGTCTTCATCATTATCTGGATTCTTACTTTTATTAGTCAGGTTGGTTGTCTGGTTGGTTGTCAGGCTGGTTGTCTGGTTGATCGGTAATATGGTTGGTTGTCAGGTTGGTTGTCTGGTTGGTGGTCTGGTTGGTTGATTGGTTGGTTGATTGAATGCTTTATTGGTTGTTTGACACCTTAGACGGCTGATTGTTGAACCAACTAACTAACCAACTGACCAACCCATTGACCACCCGTGCAGATTTTGATCGTACAGTTCGGAGGGCATGCATTCTACACGAAGGCCCTCGACCTGGAGCAGTGGATGTGGTGCCTCTTCCTAGGCATCGGAGAACTCGTCTGGGGACAGGTTCGTTATTTACGTTAGTTACGTCACGTGACACATCCTGATCATGACGTCACATCTCTTGTTGTGGTATCCTGTTAACGGGAGTATTAAATAACACCCCCACCCACCACAGCTGGTCACCTCCATTCCGACCAGACGACTACCAAAAGCGATGACGTTGGGTGCAGCCTCCCCTCAAGAAATTCAGCGAATAGAGGAAGAGGACCACGATAATGTCCTTGAAGATGCGGGCAGAGGTCAAATCCTCTGGGTCAGAGGTCTGACACGGCTACAGCAACAGGTATACTGGATTCGTGTTTTTAATACAAATGTTGCGTCAGTAAATAAGACTAGTGTCTGTGAGTTAAGTAGTGGTGATGTTAGTAGTAGAAATACGTTTTGTAGAGAGTTACAACGATAAATATTACTGCTACTGCGCCTATTATTCAGTATTAATTTAACACAGACACACATTTATGTATGAACCATGTTGATGGCAATCATTGCAGCCTATTTGAAGTGTGCTCCTTGTCAGATGCGTACATTAAAAAAACTTAATACCGCACAAACACACGTATTCACATACGCACGTACGCACATACACGTACGCACATACATGTACGCACTCACACGCACATAAATTCATGATGTTCATCGCTAGAGATTATCGAAAACCAGCTACATAAGTCACCGCCAATCGTAAAGATACGAACGTCAGCCAGCATCGTCGGCAGGGACAACATTGACTTCTTGGACGTAGCCAAACTAAGCACCTTAATAAATGATACTCAGAGGCGGCAAAACAACACAAATACCACACCAGTACCCAAACCATACTACCAATTATACTACGTACAAGCTTAGTTCGCGCTCTGAATGACAAAATACGTTCGTTGATCATCGTTGCTGCTGATCTGCCATGCTTATTTAAGACTTTTTTTTGATAGTGCCGTCGACTAACTACAAAAAAGTTTGTCTTTTTGGCCGGACCGTAGCGATAAGTTGATGTCTTTTAATAACAGCTCTTCAAGTTTCTGATATAACTCTATGTGTGGTTTGTGGTTACGGTTACGGTTGCTGCTAATGCTGGAATGTTGTTGCTGCAACAATCGTTGTTGTGCGTTTGTCTCTATCAGTGTCTTTCTGTTATGTTTTTTTTGTTTTTCTTATTATTATTTTTTGCAATTTAATAATCAACGAAAAGCATATTTTATTTCAATTTCTGATGTTTTTTGTTGTCTTGTTTTGTGGTTTGTTTCTCTGTTGCTGGTTTCTAATGTTGATGGTTTTGGAACAAATCTAATTAAGTTTTACGGACCAAAAACTTTGTAAATAGTTAACATACTATTCTTATTTGCATAATTTATTATAATTAATTAATAATTTCCAATTGTAAATATCAAATAAATCACTTCAAAACAAGCCAGTATTTTTTCTTAGTAGTAGCAATATCAGTAGTAGTAGTAGTGGTGGTTGTTGTTGTTGCTGCTTCTGCTGTTGTTGTTGTCGTTCGTCGTTATCGTCTGTCATAAATTTCAAAATCTAAATTTCTTACTTTCGTTTAAAATTCAGCCTGGTTAGTTTCGATTATTTTGATTTTATTACTATTATTAAATTATTATTTTTTCATCCTATTTGTATTTTCATGAACTGATAAACCACTTCATTACCACAAGCCCGACACACATTGCAGAAACAATTTCACAGGCACACCACTCAAACAAACAAACACACAGACAGATACACACACACACAGACACACACTCAAACAAACAAACAGAGGCAACACAACATAACTAACGTCATTTCTTCTCCATCACACGTGTAGGTGCGCGCCGCAAACGCTTTCCGCCTAGCAGAAGTCGACAGCTTCGAAAAGCGCAGCCTCTACTCGCTTAACAGTCAGTACTCGCTCGGCTACAAGAACATTCACGAACTACGCAGGCAGGCCACATCTGTGGCCGACTTCAATGACGACTCGCGTCCCGTCGTTTAGGACAATGCTGATGACCGCGGTGGTGGTAGTAGTAACCACTAACGCGATGCTGACGTTGAGGATGAGGATGTTGTTGACGATGCGATTGCAGCTGATGGCGACGATGATGATGATGATGCGACTGCATTTGAAAACGTTAATGTGGTTGTTGTTGATGACGATGATGATTCAGATGCAAATGATGACGACGATGATGATGATGGTGATGATGATAGTATTGATCTGGAAGATTCTAATGATTATCGTGACGGTCTTTACGATGCTGACGACGACGATGAAGTTCATGACGCTTATGACTATCATGCCTACCGAAGACTACATCGTGATTTCCGTGAATGATTGCCCTTGATGACGGCGGTCATCATCAACATCATTATCATCATCGACTCGTTTTTTTTTTGTGGCGACGATAATGATGATGATGGCGATGACGACGACGATGATGATGTTCGTGATGACGATGATAGTAAGATGATAATGCGTATACGAGTTTACAACTCGTGACGTCAGACATTTTAAGAACGGGGCAATCAGATGAGGGGTAAATAGCAAGATAGGGCTTGATAAGGGCATGGAAAAAGGGTTATTTTAGATGAAAAATATACTTCAACAGCATGTAATGTGTGTTTTTGATAAATTTATTATATTTATTTTTTCATTTTAATTTTTCAAATTTTTTTTTCGACTAACTTGTTTCATTTCAAGTATAATTATTATTGCGTTTCTATATTTTCCCCGCTATGTTCGTTGAAAGTTAAATAACTTTTTAATTAATTTTATATATATATATATATATATATATATATATATATATATATATATATATATATATATATATATGATTTTATTGGTTTACGTTTAATTAATTTTAATTAAGATGACGTTTCCTTTCGTTTGATTAACCAATTCATTAATTAACTAATTGATTGATTTATTTTTTTATTTCAACG